CCACAATCGGCCCTTAGCTCTATCCAACCGCCCAGATTCCCCTTTCCATTAAGATGAGCTCCTGTTTTGACCTCGAAACTCCTTGTGACAGCAGATCTCAAGGTGTACTAACATAATCCAAAGTTCCAAGTTCATATTTAATACTTTTCTTTGTAGGAGACATCTGCACCCCCCCAAATTGCCCAAGTGTCCAAGTAACCTGTTCCCTCCCCTCAGTACTCAGTTCTACTCCCCAGGGAGTCTGAGAGTTGTGTTGTTGGGATGGGGGGTTCTCTCTCGCTTTTCTTGAGACACTCTATTTGAGATTAAGAAAACTGATTTCCAAACAGAATCAAACAGATCTAACTCCACATTCGAATTCACTTCATATACAGATAGCCAATTTAGATAAAGTAAGTCATCTAAAGGAAAGTCTGCTCTCAAAATCCAGGGTTAAAATGATGCTTCCTATCTGTTTTTAGCAAGAAAGGAAGTATATATTCTTTTACTCTCAACTCTCCCTTTACTCTGACAGTTTTTTTTTTTTGTCTTTCCCTACCCTAACCCCACTTTAATTTTTGCTTTCATGTTACATTGTGTTTATCTTTATACATCTTCTTTAAAATGTCCTGAATGAGACAGAGTATCAATGTGAGTACTTGATATGACAAAAGGATATAATGTTTATTCTTTTTATTTTGTTATTAAGAATATACATGAGCTCCTGAGCTCAAGCAAATCTCCCTCCTCAGCCTCCCACAGTGCTGGGATTACAGGTGAGCCACTTGCCTGAGCGAGAGTGAGACCCCGACTCATGAAAAAAATGGAAAAACCCAGCTGGGCGCCTCAGGAAGTGCCTGTAATCCCAGCAGCTTCTGGAGGCTGAGGCAGCAGGATGCCCACAAGCTGGAGTCTGAGGTTGCAGTGAGCTACCAAGCCACTGCACTCTGCTCAGGGGCATAGGGTGGGACTCCGTCTCAACAAAAAAAAAAAAAAAAAAAGGAAAGAAATAAAAAATAAGCAATGAAATAAAATAAAATAAAGTAAAATAATATACATGAAGCCAGGTGTGGCTCGTGCCTGTAGTCCTAGTACTCTGAGAGGCCCAGGTGGGTGGACTGCCTGAGCTCACAGGTTTGGGAGGTTTGGGGCCAGCCTGAACAAGAGTGAGACCCTGTCTCTGAAAAAAACAAACAAACAAACAAAAACGCCAGGGTTTGTGGCAGGCACCTGTAGTCCTAGCTACTAGGGAGACTGAGACAAGAGAATTGCTTAAGCCCAAGAGTTTGAGGTTTCTATGAGCTATGACGATGATGCCACAGCACTCTACCAAGTGTGACAAAGTGAGACTCTTGTCTCAAAACAAAAAAAAGACTATTCATGGATGAAAGTTGACACTATTTCCTTGCCAGTCCTACCTCCCTCTACCAGTATTTGTACAACACCTGTAACCCCCAGACCACTGGGGTGGCCTAGTTGGAAGATTTACTATACAGATGATGGAGGGATAGAGTTCTTCTCAATGTTCAAGAGATTTAGCTAAATACCTAACTAGACAAATAAGACAAATCATGGCCACTAGTATGGGCCTGGGCCTCAGTACTCATCGCATGAAGATACTGGAAAAGGACATTTAAAATTACTTCCTTCAAAATATCCTTGATCATGGAACCTATGTAGGTGTTTTTACTTCAATTTCCCAAAACTTTTAAAAATGAATTAAGTTTTCCTTGCAATCTTTTATTTAATTAATTTTTTAAAAAATTCAAGGGCATTTAATAAATATATTATTCTGTGCATACTATAAAATAGCTGTCTTAAATCAATATTTTTATTCAAATTTCCCAAACTGTTATTGTCTTCAAAATTGAAAATCAATGCTAAAATTTTCATTATGATTGTGCTTATTGGTTTATTCATGGATATCCATACTATTTTTATTTCTTTTTGTGCCATCACTGAATACATAAAAGTTTATTGAGATTAAATATTCACTTTATGCTGAGGCTTTGATGAATATAAAATATATTATTTGTTTGCTACTTTTGTCCCTAAATTCTAACTCTAATTCCCAATTGTTTTGGTATATAATCTATCTATAGTAAATTCTAAATAGTTGGAATTTAGCTTTTGATCCAAATGAAGTCTATTATACTGAATGGGTCTACCATTCTATGTATTCAAAATAGCAAGTGCCAAATTGGATAGTTTAATTATCATTTAACACAAGGTGCAATACCTGTATACAGCTTTTTAAGTCATTGTAAAAAGAAGAGACTGTCACCTTAAACACAACAATGTAAATCTACATTAAATATATGAATATTACAATATATCCCAAGCTCCATTAAATTAAAACATAGAAAAATGAGCATTTAGGCTCGGCGCCTGTGGCTCAAGCGGCTAAGGCGCCAGCCACGTACACCTAAGGTGGCGGGTTCGATTCCCCAGCCCGACCCGCCGAACAACAATGACGGCTGCAACCAAAAAATGGCCAGGCGTTGTGGCGGGCGCCTGTGGTCCCAGCTACTTGGGAGG